AAACCCTTTTTGCAAAAAACGATGTCTTTCTGATTTTAGCAATTACTTTGATTTTTAGCATGTTTAAACATCACCTGAGTCTTTCCTTTTTGCTCGATTCATTTTTGTCAAGAAACCCTAACACTTTTGGGTTTGATTCAAAGTTTGAGTCTATTTGCGATATGTTTGCATGACTATCATGAACATTCTAGGTTTCATGTGTGTTCTATATGCTCTTGTGCTTCCTGCTCTAATTTGTTCTTAAGGTTTCTTTGATTTTGTCCAAACACATGTTATTTATCGTTTAATAGGTCCGACTATTTGTTTTATTGATTGTTCACATAATTTATGCTGATTTTGCGTAATCTCCTTAAACCTACATCTGTGATTTTGTGGATTTTCCTTGTAATTATGTACTAATTTTTTGAAATTGCTTCCTTATTTTTTTGTGATACTTTCCTTACTTAGTGTAGATTCCCTGTGATTTTCCATCTCATCCGTGATTCTTTGAACTGACTTTCAGAATTGAAATTGTGCTCTACCTTATTTATGTGCACAATATGTTGTTAGTATACTTTCCTTACTTGAAAATATTCTGTACTTAATCCTTATTACATGCTACATGCTTTTACTACTCCTATTATGATAAAATCAGTTCTTTTCCTACTTGATACAACTTGTACCCGTTTGAACTATGACTCCCTAATTGAAGGGAGTCCGGGTCTTTAATTGATTCTGATTCGTATTATTTCTATAATTATGCTAAGTCATACTTATTACTTTATTTTCCTGCATGTTCTCAAACTATATATACTCTACCCTCTCTTTAGAATAAGACACGAACAATTAGTTCAGAACACACATACATAGTCAAACTCTCGTTTTCTTTCTCTACTACTTAATACTGCTTGTCTAGCCGGTTGAAAGCCAAGGCTAGACTGTGGAACTCTACTTGTTTTACTTTTCCGCACTTTGCTTCCTTAACTGGTATGTTCCTAGTTCAATTCTGAAACTCAACTCTATGTGCTCCATTGTTTGTCAATCCCTGCCTCTTTCTGCACTGACCTAATGGCTCATGTTGTTTAATTGCACTTCTTGTTCACTGCTTTACTCAGCATGCTTAAGTTCTGCCCTCTCTTGTTCTAATGTAATCAGCATGTCTACTTGAGTTCCTATTTATGTCTCTCAACTAGTATGTCCCCCAGTGTACTTGATTAACACTAAGTCATGACTAATTATGTGTAATAGACCTCTGCATGACTACTCTCATACCTTGTCCCTATGTCTTATTACAATTCTAAGCACGACTCCATTGTTAACTCTCTAAAGTAATTGTTTGTGTTCTAAAGGCCAATCAGTCCCTACTTGTTCTTTGCACTTGATTGTCTATATGCATCTCTTCTCAGCCATGTTTACATGTTTCTGATTTGGGCCCTATGTGTCCCCAACCCCTGTTTCCCTGTTTGTAACTTTTGAAACTATACTATTCTTTGAACTTGTTTTATGTGTGTGCTGGCTTGTTCTAAGTTATTGTTGCTCATGTTCCCTTCTCCTTTTCAAAATTGTTCTGCTGTTTTTCAAACTTATTTCAAACATGCTGCTTCAAAACTGTTTTCCAATTCAACCTTCTTTTAAATCTATGTCAAGCACTCCCACTCTACTCCTAGATTACTAGGTTCTACCCATTTTGTGTGAGCCTTGCCTTGGGACCCTTGAGCTCCCTCTAAACTTGAACACATAAAAGCTAGCCTTTCCACACTGCACTTACTCTGTCTTGGTTATGAAATCTGGGTGTGAGCACTACCCGGGATTCCTTGAGGTCCTTAGGGAACTCTGACACACCCGGATATGGGAAAGACTATGGAACCATCTTGGCATTTGGGGTAATTGATTACATAACTCAGGGAGGAAGTCCTAATCAGGCTTCCTATAGTGTAACTTCTTATTTTTCACTTCTACTTGTGTAATTCATTAACATGGTCTGCAATAATTTGTAAACAAGTATAGGGGTGGCTAGTGAAAAGAGATGTGGTAAATATGCATGCTATAGTTGTTAAGGGGGTAGAAAACCTGTTGTTAGGTTTATATTCCTAATTGCGTAATAGAAATCATGCTTAGGGTTCATACATGCATTAGAATCATGCTCTTAAGTCCTATGTTTCCTGCTTCAACATCTCATCCGTTACTAATCCATGTTTTATGTCTATCACTTAGAAATCCTGTTCCTAGGACGATAACAAATTTGGCATAAAAGTTGTTACTCTTGTACTTTCAGAAGTCTTACTTCAATAAGTCTGCAATTCTTGAGTGCATTTAGAAATCATGCCTTAGGGATTCTGTTTTTTTAACAATCCTGCCATTTGCATATGTATATTAGATATCATGTTCTAGGATCCTATTTGCATTAAGACGCCTAGTTAATTACTGATTCATGAAAAGGTAATAAAATAATCTCACATTGTGATGTTTTCTGAATAAAATTGGTAATAATCTCCGCATTCGTATCAACTAGAACAACATGCTCTTAGGTAAAAACCATCTCCAAACTGTTTTAATAATCCTAAATAACTGCTGCATATTACGCTTAGGCAAGCCTTAGGTAATAACTTGAATAAAATTAGAACAGCCTTTGTTTAACTGCCAGCATGTTAAAATCAATAGGCAATCCTGATTCGGACTTCTTTTCTGAGTTATATAATAAATCTAGTTCTGTTGTTATCACTTAGATACCATGCATAGGATTTAAATTCAGACATTAATTGTGTATGAGTCATGCTGTCTATGTACATTACCTGTGGAGGTATACTTGAGCATTTTGTTTGTCTTCCATGCCCCCCTTGATTGAAGTCCTACTTGTTATTATATGTCGCCTTAGTATTTTGCCTTTAAACTTGAGGGTCTGCCTAGAACCTCCTTATTATAGGATAGGAGTCCCAAATTCCTCCGGAACTAATAGGAAGGGATGGGTAACAGCATGCAATAGGGGTCGAGACCAACCCTCGCTTTAATTACCTTCACGGGGCGGGAAAGGGTAGAAATGGATATGATGACCGGTGCACTAATATCACGTGTAGCCCCTCTTTGAGGAGTGTCATACCGGGTATTGCATTGATGTGATCCATATTATAGACAAACCTAGCACACCCCTTTACATTCATAAACGTGCTTAGTTTGTAATTCTTTTCAAAATCTTGCTTCTCATTAATTGATTTTTCAAACATCTGTGTTCTTAAACTTAAATCCCCTACTATTTGAGCAATACTTGTTTAGCTGTTGCTTGTACAAATGCACAAAAACTGTTTGGCCGGGAACCACACTCGTGGATCCTGAGGGGTGCCTAACACCTTCCTTTTAGGATAATATCAAGTCCTTACCCTATCTCTTGTAACCAAACGTGGTTATAAATGAACCCTATAGGTGCCCTAATGCACCTTAAAATCGTTAGGTGGGGATTCTTCAAAACCGCAAACCCCCTTTCCCAAAACGAGTAAGTTGTCCTGATTTCCTCGGAAGGAAAAAGGGGGCGCGACAATAATCACTAAGCAACCGTACTAGAACCACAGAACCCGGGAATGCCTAACACCTTCTCCCAACATAATTCCTTATCTAGAATTTCTAGTTTGCAGACTTTTAAAATAAAATCGAAACTTCCTCGATTTGGGATTTAAAATAAACCGGTGACTTGGGACACCAAATAAATTATTCCAAGTGGCGACTCTGATAAATTAATTAATCCCATCTCGATTAATGTTACTTTAATTGGAAAAACTCTCATATGCCCTCGGGATGTAAAAAGGAGGTGTGACACTTGGCCTTAATTTTTGAATTTACAACTCTAACTTTAGGACCAAGTGTCCTTAATTTGTGAACTTTCACTCTAAGTTCAGGACCAATTGTCCTTATCTTATGAGCTTGTTACTCTAAGTTCAGGACTAATTGTCCTTTAATTTATGAGCTTGTAAGTCTAAGTTTAGGACCAAGTGTCCTTAACTTTTGAACTTGTAACTGTAAGTTAAGGACTACTTGTCCTTAACTTTTGATTTTGCAACTCTAACTTTAGGACCAAGTGTCCTAAATTTATGACCTTGTTACTGTAAGTTCAGGACCAAGTGTCCCTAGTTAATAATTGAGGATTAACTTATAAACTTTCTAACTTTGATATTTACAAAATATTCAGGGGACAAACTGATATATATGCGGAGGATAATGGTGTGAGAAAGAATCCATATAAATTGTACCATCAAAAAATCAGCAACAAAATGTTCTTCCTTGAGCTTTCAAATAGTAGCTTTGTACTTGATGATAGGGTTTGATAATTCACAAGGCATTTGTTTTCTTTCTTCTTAATTTATTATTTTTTAATTATTTATGACTGATGGTTTTTTTTCATTTTGTTTGCCTTTTTATGAAGAATATTGACATTGCCCTGTATTATTTGAGGAAAAAGGAATGTTACCACCCTTGTGCCCATCCTTTTCATTGCACAACTACAGATATACTTTTTGATAACTATATGCTACTTATGTATAAGGATTTCAATTAAGATGCTTCAGATGAGTTTTGATGTTGTGATAATCAATTGGTTCTCACACTATATGTGTGGGATGACAATCGTAGATGTGGAATTTCTTGGACAGAGGTTGACAAAATCTTTTTTCCATGTCGGCTTCCTTCAGAAGATAATGATGATGTGACACATTTTCTTTTGGGGGTATTGGGCTTGAATAAGAGAAAGATTGATATGTACGATTCTATATATAGTGAGCCATATGAGAAAGGAATGAAACACATTGAAATATATGCACGCATGATCCCCCACTTGCTAAAGTTCTGACAATTTGAGAAAAATCACAAGTCTTTTGGAAATGCATTCAACAAATTTTATATTCAGTAGCAAAGATTACCCACCAAACTGTATCATACGTGTTGTCATTTGCTATATAATTTATATGTACTTTAGATTTATTTTATTATTGATATTGTTTAATTGACTCCATATCTTACATTTTTCTTGTGATTGATTATGGTGCATTCCTAATCAAGTATGTGGAGTTGTTGATGATGGGAAAGAATTTGGAGAAATTCCAACCTGAGGACATATCAAACTTCATAAAAGAACTTGAAGCAAATCTTTGGTCATATGGAGAGTGGAAAAGAAATTCTGGGTATTATACACCACCAAAAAAATATCGGCGACGACTATGATAGTGAAAATGAAACTTCTTGCCAAAGGAGCTATAGTGTAGTTGTAAAGAAAGTCACCTGTAGTTGAATTGGTATAAAATTCCTGTAAAGAATCCATATGAATTCTGAAATATCCTATAAATTGTTCACAAGGCACTTTATTTTGTTTGCATAGCATCATTTTTTGGTCACAGCTATGCCGAATTACAGTTTCAGTAGTAATATAAAAGGTATCAACAATAACAACAAAAACCCAGTTTGATCCCAACATGGGGTCTGGAGAAGGTAATCTGTATGCAGACCTTACCCCTACCTAATGCAAGTAGAAAGTCTGTTTCCAATAGACCCTCGGATCTGGAAGGACAAGAAAAAGAAGAGGAAAGCAAGGAAGGAAGAGAAAAGAAAAGGGGGGGGGAGATAAAGGATAAGTAATACCAAATAATAGCAGCAGGGAATACAATACCCGAGGCGAACACAACCACATAAAGTAATAGAAATCTAAGAATATGAAGGACATGCATGCTACTAAGACTATCGGTGAACAACTATAAACTACCTACCAACCTTCTACCTTAATCCTCGACCTCCACACCCTCCTATCAAGGGTCATGTCCTCAGTGAACTGAAGCAGCGCCATGTCGTGTCTAATCACTTCTCCCCAGTACTTCTTAGGCCTACCTCGACCTCTTCTCAAACTCTCCATGTCCAACCCGTCACACCTCCTGACAGGAGCATCAATGCTTCTTCTTTTAACATGTCTGAACCATCTCAGCCTCGACTCCCACATCTTGTCCTCTACGGAGGCTACTCTCACTCTATCCCGGATAGCTTCATTCTTAATCCTATCTCTCCTGGTACACCCACACATCCATCTCAACATCCTCATCTCTGCTACTCTCATCTTCTGCAGGCGGGAGTTCTTGACCGGCCAACACTCAGCCCCATACAGCATAGCCGGTCGAACCAACACTCGATAAAACTTACCCTTGAGTCTTAGCGGCACATTCCTGTCACACAAAACATCGAAAGTGAGCCTCCACTTCATCCATCCTGCTCTGATACAATATGCGACATCTTCATCAATCTCCCTGTTACCCAGGATAATAAACCCGAGATAATTAAAACCCGCTCTGTTAGGGATAACTCGAGCATCAAGCTTAACCTCTACATCTGCATCATGGGTCCTGTCACTGAATTTGCACTCCAAGTATTCTATCTTGGTTCTACTCAGTTTGAAACCTTTAGAGTCCAGTGTCTGTCTCCAAACCTCCAACCTCATGTTAACTCCGCTACGCGTCTTGTCAATCAACACTATATCATCGGAAAATAGCATGCACCAAGGCACCTCCCATTGGATGTGTCGCGACAGTACATCATCGCTAAGGAAAATAAAAATGTGCTAAGAGTTGATCTCTGGTGCAACCCCATCACCACAGGGAAATACTTCGAGTCACCCGCCACAGTCCTCACCCGAGTCTTAGCATCATCATACATATCCTTAATCACCCTAATGTATGCTACTGGAATGCCACTAACCTCCAAACACCTCCACAGGACCTCCCTCGGGACTTTATCGTATGGTTTCTCAAGGTCAATAAACACCATATGAAAATCCTTCTTCCTCTCCTTGTACTGCTCTACTAATCTCCTTACCAGATGAATTGCTTCCGTAGTAGAATGCCCCGGCATGAATCCAAACTAATTCTCGGAAATAGACATGCACCTCCTCACCCTGGCCTCCACCAACCTCTCATAAACCTTCATAGTGTGAATCAACAACTTGATACCCCTATAATTATTGCAATTTTGGATATCACCCTTGTTATTGTAAAGCGGAATCATCGTACTCCACCTCCATTATTCGGGTATCATTTTTGTCTTAAAAATAACATTAAATATCCCAGTGAGCCACTCCAAACCTGTCCGCCCCGCGCTCTTCCAGAATTCCATCAGAATTTTGTCTAGCCCCGCCGCCCTGCCTCTGCACATCATACGCATCGCCCATTCCACTTCTTCTATCGTAATCCGCCTATAGTACCCAAAATCCCGCTGACTCTCGGAGTGCTCCAACTCACCCAGCACAATGTGTCTATCCCCTCCTCATTCAACAGTTTTTGGAAGTATGACTGCCATCTTCTCCTAAAAAGTGCCTCGTCCATCAATACTTTTCCATCCTCGTCCTTGATGCACTTGACTTGATCTATTCACGGGCTTTCCTATCCCTCACCTTGGTCAACCGGTACAACCTTTTGTCCCCGCCTTTGCCCTCGAGATCCTCGTACAAACAAGCAACGCTGCATTCTTATCCGTCGTAACCGCTAACTTCACCTCTTACTTTGCCTTTCTGTAACACTCCCGATAAGTCCTTTTTTCTTCCTCGTTTGTACTCTCCACTAGCTTCAAATAAGCAGCTTTCTTAGCTTCCACTTTACCTTTAACCTCTCCATTCCACCATCAGTCCTCTTTATGATCCCCAGGAGAGCCCTTTGTGACCCCTAAGACCTCTCTAGCAGCTACTGTAATGCAATTCGCAGTCGTAAACCACATACTAGATGTGTCCCCTCTACTCATCCAGGCATTCATAGCCAACAACTTCTCCCCTAACTCCTGAGCTTTGTCCTTGGTCAAGTTACCCCACTTGATCTTAGGTTGCCTGCACCCCTCCCTTTTCCTCCTACTCCTCTTGATCTCCAGGTCCATAACTAGGAGCCTATGAAGAGTCATGAGGTGCTCACTTGGGATGACCTTGAAGTCAGTGCACAGACCTTTATTGCATTTCCTGCAGAGAAGATAATCAATTTGGGTCTTGCCCATTGAATTCCGAAAAGTGACCAGGTGCTCTTCCCTCTTCGGAAAACTCGAGTTAGCTATAACCAAATCAAAAGCTCGAGCAAAATCCAACAGAGAATTACCTCCCTCATTTCTATCCCCAAAACCGTACCCACCATGCACATCATCATAACCCCTAGCACTAGCCCCAATATGACCAGTAATATGAAGGTATCGTGTTGTTAATTGTTTTTTCCTGCTAACTATTGATTTGTCCATTTTTTCACTATTTTAAAGGGCCAATATTTGATTAAATTGTCTTAAAGATTTTAGAAATTAAAAGCAACACACATTGATGGTAGAACTTCAGGATCTGTTAACTACATCCTGATTTGTTGAAGGATGAAAATAATATTGAGGACATATTTTTTAAATGTCCTAAACTTCTATAAATATAGACAATATCTGAGATTTCCAGAAGTTAAGGGCATTTTAGAATTTTTGTCCTTAATATTAGATTCATACTTCAAATTTTCAAGACTTTTAAAAGATTATGTCCTTAAGTTTTACTTGTACCAATCTGATTTTAAAAATAAAGATGTAGCAAGCTCCAGGCATCAAATTATATAAAGAAAAGGACTTTCTTGTTTGCTTACGGCAAGAGTAAAATCCCATAAACAATAATTAGTCTGACAAAGGTAAATTGAACTCCCAGAAAAAGAAAAAGAAACAAAGAGCACATAAGCGCAAAGAAACTTTGAAAATTCAGGACATCTTTTATATAACCATCTGCTAATGTTTACTTGCTCAAATAAAAATAATCTAAATGAAATTTGTAGCAAAAACTTAAAAGTATAGATAAACATAAGTGGATATATCTATTATTCTCTATGCTTCCTTGAAAATAGATGGACTACCGGAGAATATATACAAGATGTTCTATTATGACCAATTCTTTTGTAAAGACCACATTTGAATGTTACTTTTGATGATTCGGTAGCTGGAATATGTCTTTTTTTCTGCCTTCTACCTGGCAGGACTTTGAAATCTGGAGGTTTAATAATTTGTGACTTAACACTCTCTGGTACAATCTAAGAATTCGTATGTCCTACAGGATGTATTTGTTCTTCATATAATTTCAGCCAAGATTCCTTTAAGTACCAGTCGGAGCAGAAATTGGACTTCTTGATGTTTGTCTTCTCGATAGCTTCAATTGTATGTATACATGGTAATTCATCAAATTGAAACTGAAAATAATCACATGTTCTTTTGTTTAAGTTCCACCAAAAAAGTAATTCCTTTTTCCTCAACTCTAGAACACCATGAATCAACATGGAAGACCTTCAAAGTTGAAATATTATAAGTTAGTACATTATGTTAAATTATCATTAAAATAATAAGCTAAAGTAAGAATATAATATTTACATTTAAAGTAAAAGCTAAATCTATCTTTTTCTTCAATTCCTCTTCTACCCAACAAGAAACGTTATAAAAAGTTCCTTCTGCTTCATTTCTTCTTTCATAAAACCAACCGTCGTAGCTTCACTTGGATGAAATCCATCATTCTTAATATAGGCAGCTCCCTTGCTTCTAATGGCACAGAATTCATTGACTCAACTATGTTTGTTGTGAGCATGACATATCTTCGTCGTGGACTACAAGAACGTGCCCACTTTTCCGGTGGTTCTTCCATCAAGTAGTCAAAAGTCTCCATATCAAATTTTGTTATATCTGACACGTATAGATTAAATTCTTTGCGCTTGTATACTCTTGCAGCACTTTGGAAAAGTTTTATGACCTCAATTTTTACTTTTCTTCGCTTTAGGTTCTGCTCCAAATGATTGATACAAATCTCATGGTGGCTTTCAGGATATACATTTGTGATGCCATGTGTAATAGATTCATTCATGTCCAATAAGAAAATTAAATTATCACGGCTCCCAATTGCATTGCGAAGCTCACTAAAGTAACACTCATAGGAATTGTTATTTTCAGATTCTGTAATTCCAAAGGCTAGTGGGAATATTTGGTTATTTACATCCTTTGAAACTGAAATCATTAAAACACCATGATATTTTGACTTCAAAAAAGTTGCATCAATAGCAATCACTGGTCTACAATGATTCCAACCAGCTATTGATGATCCATATGCATAAAACATATAAAGAAACCTGAAAAATACAGATTAACGAAAGGTTAAAAATACAAGACACCAAATCCTTAACATTTACACTGCACACATCAAAGTTAAGGACAGCTTGTCCTTGACATTTTCACCGCACACATCAAAGTTAAGGACAACTTGTCCTTAATTTTTACAATGCAAACATCAAAGTTATGGATACCATGTCCTTAACTTTTTCACTGCACACATCAAAGTTAAGGACAACTTGTCCTTAATTTTTACAATGCAAACATCAAAGTTATGGATACCATGTCCTTAACTTTTTCACTGCACACATCCAAGTTAAGGACACCATGACCTTAACATTTTCACTGCACACGTCAAAGTTAATGACACCATGTCCTTAGCTTTTTAACTGCACACATCAAAGTTAAGGACACCAAGTCCATAACATTTTCACTGCACACATCAAAGTTAAGGACACCATGTCCTAAAGTTTATAAAACAGACTAATAAACTCTTTTTGATTGTTTACCTGTTGTTGTCGTCTATCTTTATGTTAGTGTATGTTTCCGGGTTTTTACTTTTCATCATATACAAGTATGAAGACAATAATTCATAAGTTCCTCTTATTAAAGGTGAAGCACGTTGAATAGCACGCCACGCCTTGTGATAACCAATGTCTAGTCCATGCAATTTTTGCATTTCTGCCATGAAAAAGGTTGGTGTAACTTCAAACCTTGGGTCTTGAAGATTGTCAATAATGTAATCACTAATCAACTTTGAAGTTGCATGCCTTTGATCAACTTTCATAGTGTTAACTGAGCAGTCATGATTTTTCTTAATCTTTACTATCTTGAATAGTGTTGAATCTTTAATTCTGAAAGCACGCACACACCACTCACACCTATCATCATTACATTTCAACGAATATCTTGTTGAGCTTGATCTAACAACCTTGAATTCAAAATGTCCTTTAATTGCTAAATTCGAAAAATAGTTAATTATACTCTTCTTTTTGTCAAATATTGATCCCACTTTTATTTCATCCAATGAAGCATTTTCTCTTAATATCGTAGTTGGGGATTCTTTTTGTTTTGAATTTGAGCTTCGTCTAGTTAGTTGAGTAGAGTTTTTTTCATCAACTTCTTCTATTACCGGTGCACTCTCTAAGACTTGAATACTCAAAACTAGTTCGTTGTTAATATCTATAATGCTTTGTCCTTTCACTTGAATAGAATCAAATGTTTGAAGCACCTTTTCAGTTATTGGTTTAGCTTCAACCACATCTATTGCCATTATCTGTTGGCAATTGTCTTGATTGTCTTGGTGAGTTTCTATATTGACATGTTCAAAGGTGCTTGTAGAACCAAAAACTCTTTCTGAAACATCAACAATGAAACGACAACCCTTTGAAGAGTGAATGAATTTTTAGTAACTCTATACATGTGTGAAGATCTAAATATTTCGATACAAGTATTCCCTTGTTGTTTACCAGGTTGATATCAAACCATATCATTGCTTCAAACTTGTCTCTATCTAATTCAATAACTTCAAAGACCTGGTTAATGAAATCTTCAAATTGAATTGCCTCAGGTACTAGAACAAGCTTTGTTTGATGATCAAGATACTTATAGTTTGCAGTCCATATACCATTAAAAGCAACTATAATACATATTGTATCCATCCTGCAAGTCAAGAAAATGGGAAATTCAGGACATATTTATCCAACAATCGTGAAGTTAAGGACACGATGTCCTAAACATTATCAATACAAGTTGCAAAATACAGGATACTATGTCCTTCATAATTATAACAACAATCATGAAGTTAAGTACATCATGTCCTAAATTTTATCAATACAATTTGCAAATATAGGACTCTATGTCCTCAAAATTTATACAGTAGTCATGAAGTGTTACGACCCGACTGGTCGTTTTAAGAATTTATGCCATGATCCCCTATTAACTGCTTTCTCCGTATTTATTTCTGCTATTGTGAGTTGCCGGGAGGAATTATTGGGAGTTTCGGAGAGTTTTGGGACACTTAGTCCCTAAATGAGAGCTTAAGTTCTAGAAATTTAACCGTAGTCGGATCAGTGCGAAGATGACCTTGGAATGGAATTCCGATGATTCCATTAGCTCTGTTGGGTATTTTGGGTTTAGGAGCGTGTTCGGATTGTGTTTTGGAGGTCCGTAGCTAAATTAGTCTTGAAATGCCGAAAGTTGAATTTTTTGAAGTTTCCGGTTCGATAGTGAGATTTTGATCCGATGGTCAGAAAGGAATTTTGGAAGTTGGAGTAGCTCCATAGTATCGAATTGACGTGTGTGCAAAATTTCAGGTCATTCAGACGATGTTTGATAGACTTTTTGATCAAAAGCGTATTTTGAGAGTTTTTTAATTTCTTAGGCTAGAATCCGATGTTAAATTGGTATTTTGATGTTGTTTTGAGCATTTTGAAGATTGCAAAAAGTTTGAATGATGTTTTAGGATTGGTTGACATGTTTGGTTGAGGTCCCAAGGGCCTGGGTTGTGTTTCGGATGCTCAACGAGGTATTTTGGAACTTGTTGAAATTGCAGAAAAATTGCAGCAGCCCAGTTCTGGTTTCCTTCTTTGCGTTCGTGGGTAGGGTCTCGCGTTCGCGAAGAGGAGCTAGGGCTGGGGGAGTCTTTGCGCTTCACATTCGCGAAGAGTCTCCCGCGTTCGCGAAGTTGAGAGGTTTCATACCTATGCGTTCGCGATGGTGTTCCCGCGTTCACGTAGAAAGAGGGTGCTTTGCATCGATTTTGCGTCCTGTGTATCGCGTTCGCGATGAAGGAATCTAGGCCCAAGCGAATTTGCGCTTCGCAAACGCGAGGGGCCTTCCGCGTTCGCGAAGAAGGGATATCTTGGCAGTATTTAAATAGCCCATCCGCGACCCTTCTTCATATTTCCACCATTTTTTAACGAGATTGAAGCTTTTGAGGGTGATTTTTGAGAAAACCAAAGGGAAATCACTTAGAGGTAACATTTTTGACTTCATAACTCCTTTATATGTGATTAAAGGTCTGATTAGTGGTAAAAAATATGGAAAAAATGGGTAATTAGGGCTTGAGATTAAATGACCTTGTCATACCTTCTTTTTACTACCACCCATAAGGGGAGGGTTTAAGGGAGTTTTTTTCAACTTAAAGTGACAATCGAAACAGGATCATTTTATTAAAAAATTCAGAGTCGCCACTTGGAATAATTTTATGGTGTCCCAAGTCACTAGTTTCAAATCCCGAATCGAGGGAAAATTGACTCTGTTTTACAGTCCGCGAACACAGAAATCGGGGTAAGGAATTCCGTTAACCCAGGAGAAGGTATTAGGCATTCCCGAGTTCCGTGGTTCTAGCACGATCACTCAACTATTATAATTGGCCTATTATCTGATTCTAATACATGTTTTAACCTATGGTACAACTTTAACTTTATAACCGCTTTTATTTAATATTTTTTAGGAAGATTTCAACTTTATTTAAAACACGTCTTGAACCACGTCACATAAATGCACCCGCGGTCCCCGACATATTTTATCTAATATTGTTGAGATTTGGATTTAGGTTACATAAATTCACACCCAAGTTTAGGAAGGTAATTTTTAAAATAACGCGTCAAAAGCAACTACGCATCTTCAAGTTTGCGAGGGCCAAGAATTATAGGATTTTATTATGGGAGGAACAAAATAAATTAGCTATAGGGAAATGTATTAGCTTGTAGCCCTATTGATATTTGTATTTGTCTCTATTTAAACCCATATACACTTAAAAGGGTAAAATCATACAAGATCAAACAAAATCTTCAACATTCCCAAATTAACCGTGAAATACAACCAAAGGTTTAAACTGACGAGCTCATTACGGCAAAACGAAGCGAATTAACACAAACGTGAACACGAAAACATATGAACACAAACAGAAAACGTGAACCCAAATGAAACAAAATACAGAGATACCGAATGGAACACAAACGCAAACGAAACAAAATAAAATAACATTGAAACAGTAGACAAAACGAGAACACAAAGATACCAAAAATTAACATGGCCAACATGCTTTTGATTACTTACAGAATGGGAATTTTCAATTGCAGACCCACAAACATATGAATTCACCATAATACAATGAACATTTATTCATTTATAGTGGATAGACATATAAACACGAGAAAATTTCAAATTACATGGCTACGGATTTCACTTGGGAAAATGGTAATCAACCATGACTGATGAAAGCACACGTTAACATTGTAAAATAAATCCCATCTTTTAATGGCTCTTTCAAAGTTTGATTCACAGTAATTAGCAAAATAAAGAGGAATTAATAGAAATGAACCTGTTAAGTGCTTCTCTTTTAATATGTAAAGAAATATGTTTTGAAGCAGATTCAACAAGATGAAGGCCCGAAGAAAATACAGCAACAATATGAAGCAGGAACCGAGAACCGACCTCTAACGGACACTCCAAATCGAAAATCCATTTCAGCTTGACCCCATCTTTGAACCTAAATTTCCGAAATTGAAGAATGAAGAGAGCAACGACTATGGTATTTTAAAAGGGGTGAGTCAGATGCTTTTAATTTTAGTCACTCCTGGTCCCCTCCGTTCATCCTCTTAATTTCCCCCTTTTCTAATTTTTCATCCATTTTTTTGCAGGTCCGTTCTCTGCTTTTTCTTGGGTGTACATGTTTGATCTTCTTAAAATAAAGGGTGGATGAGTTATTATGTGTGTATATGATGATATGTGGCTTCTTTCTCAAATCAGAATGTGAAAAATATGATGGGTTCAAAGAGATTTCTTAGAGGGGAATCCTTGCCGTAGAGGAATTTTCTTCTTTTTGCTTTGTGTGGTCTCTTGCGGCTGTTTTGGTTGCCTCAGGCCTTTTTGAATTAGTTAGGTCTTTGTGATGGAGAAGATGAAAAATCTGATGGGGGAAGGGGTCCTTCTAAAATGGTGGATGGCTTTTTTTGAGTGTCTAGCTCTCTATTTAGGCATTAGGTACTATTATATAGGAGTAGGGATTAGGTTAGGGGTATGGGCCTAGGAATTATGGGCTCGGTCCAAAATTAGGCTTAAAAATGGATTGCTCGAACCCAAGTTTTATTCTTTCCCCGCGAACGAGACGAAAAATACGATCTCATTTATTAACTAATCATACTTAAGTAAAATAACTATTAAAATAAGACCGACCATTAAAATAAATTATTTTTTGGTATTTTTCAATATTAAAAATGACTACAAAACATTAATGGAATAATTTTTTATAATTTTCATTTTTCTTGTAATAAAATAAAGTAAAAGAGTCAAAATTAATTAAAATAGCTATAAATTAAATATTTACGTGCTAAAATATGAAAAATCTTAGGGAGTGTCAAAAATTACATGTCTACAGCTGCCTTTCTTTGATTGGAAATGCGAAGAGTTTTCAGACAAAGAATGACTAGACAAGTTTTTTGACTCGACCCTTATTTAAGGAGACCAAAAACTAAGAGGAAGGAGAATGTGACCGAGCCCTGGTATCTGAGCTGCTTACATATCCTTGGCTATAAAGGAATCAGGTCATGTGTAGTTCAGAAGTGAATGTGGTGATGGAGTACCGAGGTGGAGAGTCGGTCGAGGTGCCGTTCCGCTGAGGTTCCGGTCCGCGGTCCCGTTATTACATCAAAATCAAAAATATAAAAAATACTAACTAATCCTATCGACTACGAGTTACAAGATTCCTATCTATGAGTTTCTGAAGCTTGATCTAGAGTCTTGGTTGGTTCTTCATGCGGACCCTGATCTGAATCTTGATGCTTGTTAGCCGCAGGTGTTGGTTCAATCTTCTTCAACTTTTCAAACCAAGATGGGAGATGCAGAGCTTGTGACCTCAGCCCTGCCTTAAGCAGCTCACATCTTTCATTAACTTCTATATTTGGATTCACTTATTATCTTTCTTTTTCTTTTTTTTTCTTTTTATTCTGGATTGTGACTAACTTCTGTTGATCACCTTGGACTGCTGAATCGCATTCTTGATGCGAGCTTCTTTTGTTGCTGACCTGAATTGCATTCTGAATTGAATTCTCTTATTCTCCAGGTAGGCGCCTGATTACTGAACTTGAACCGTCTTCTCTTGTTACTTGACACTGTTTTCCCTTGCACCTTGAACCATTTTCCCTTGAAACTTGAACTGTCTTCCTTCGAAACTGCTTTCCCTTGAAACTTGAGTTGTCTTCCTTCGAAACTGCTTTCCCTTGAAACTTGAGTTGTCTTCCCTTGTTTTCCAGGTGGGCGCCTGATTACAACAAAACAGACAAAACAAAAGAAATTTTCCTGCCCCAGTTTGATATTGGGAACATTTGTGAGTGTTAACAAAACTATAAATCACTTGCGTTGCTGATGAATGATGCAATGATGAGAGTTAAATTAATAACTAGACTAGGATGTGCGTCTCCTAAACGTGATTGAGCTTGCGGAAAACTATAAACTAAGCTTGACTAAAGTAAAAACTGACCCTATTCTCCAGGCGCCCCCCCTGATTTAAGGAAAACTAATCATTGATAATCTTAAGAAAACTAAAAAATGACTCCCCTTTTTTTTTCAAATTCAGACTTCCTTTTTTTTTAAAATTATTATCCTATGAGAAAATTCATCGGACTATGTTTTCTATCTTAGGAGAAAGATTCATTAGACTAAGATTTTGATCCAAGGAGAAAGTTCATCAGACTAGGTCTCTTTTCTACTTCTTTTTTGGTATCTTAGGAGAAAGGTTCATCGGACTAAGATTTCTATCCTAGGAGAAAGTTCATCAGACTAGGTCTCTTTTCTACTTCTTTTTTGGTATCTTAGGAGAAAGGTTCATCGGACTAAGATTTCTATCCTAGGAGAAAGTTCATCAGACTAGGTCTTCTATCTTAGGAGAAAGATTCATCAAACTAAGATTTTGATCCTAGGAGAAAATTTATCAGACTGGATCTCTTTTTTTTGGTATCTTTGGAGAAATATTCATCAGACTATGATTTTTATCCTAGGAGAAAGTTCATCCGACTAGGTCTTCTATCTTAGGAGAAAAATTCATTAGACTAAGATCTTTTTTTCATATTAGGAGAAGGATTCATCAGACTAAGATGTTTATCCTAGGAGAAAGTTCATCAGACTAGGTTTTCTATCTTAGGAGAAAGGTTCATCAGACTAAGACATTTATTTTTTGTATCTTAGGAGAAAGATTCATCAGAATAAGATGTTTATCCGAGGAGAAAGTTCATCAGACTAGGTTTTCTATCTTAGGAGAAAGGTTCATCAGACTAAGACATTTATTTTTTGTATCTTAGGAGAAAGATTCATCAGAATAAGATGTTTATCCGAGGAGAAAGTTCATCAGACTAGGTTTTCTATCTTAGGAGAAAAGTTTATCAGACTAAGACATTTATCCTAGGAGAAAGATTTATCAGACTAGGTTTTCTTATATTAGGAGAAAGATTCATCAGACTTAGACATTTATCCTAGGAGAAAATTCATCAGACTAGGACTTTTTATCCTAGGAGGAAAAAAATGTGAAGAACAATGGCAATATTTTATGCACAATAGCAAGACAAATAAAGGCGAAGATTTGTGAAACTTCCTTTTGTTGGCTCTTCTCTTCTTCTTTTTTTCTTTTGCTTCTTTTTTTTTTCTTTCTTTGTTTTCTTTCTGTTTTTTGCACCGCTTTCCTTACACTACTTTGTTCCTATTTCTCACAAAGAAAAATTGATTAGTTTTTAAAATGGTGGTCGGTTTGTGGCCTTGAGTCTTGGGCAGCTTGGCTTCTACTCAATCAGCTTGAGTCGGTCTCAAAAGACTTTTGTTCTGCACCAACTCTAATTGTTTCACACCAGTACCATTTGTATTTGTAGTTCAAACAGCTTTATCCCAATTGGAGATCTTTGCTTAGGTGACCTTTTCTGATATCTTGAATGACTTCCTGCTTTTGAGCAATTGGTCTGCCAGAGAGAATCACCAGTTATCTTTGCTTGCGCCAAGTAGGCTGACAAGAGTCTTTTTGGGGAAGCCTTTGCATGAATCCTCAAGGTATGTTAACAGTAACAGCTGAGTGTGCTGGCCAAATTTACTTTATGCAACTGAAAAGCTGGTAGCAAATGTTGAAATCTTTTCTTGCTTGTTTTGACAAGGACTGACTCAGAGTGGAAGACACAATGGTGCAAAGAAACAAGTATTAACAAGAAATACCCCTGTCGGAAGGACGGAAGGAAGATTTTTTTTTCAATAACTAGCCTTAATGATCATGACATGCATTTTGGACTCAACGGACTGATATATCAAACCAATCTAATCTTCCCTTTTACCATTCTTATGATCTTTGAAGTCGGGCCTATCGTGGAAATCATTTGCATCAGCTTCATGACTCACTTTCGACTAATGGTGCCTTGAGGAATTTTCACCAACAAGCCTCTCTCATGTATTCATCTCTACTTACCGTTGCCTTACTGTGCCCGTGAGAGTTTTCACTAGTAAGACTCTCTCATTTTTCTTTTTCTTTTTCTTACTTTTTGTGAGTAACTTGACAGTGTTCTATGTCGCGTGACAGCCGTTGCTCATTGCATGCTTCTCTTGGCATTTCCTAAAGGCATATCGGGAGGTCTTTATTTGGAAGGATTTTCGATAGGGTTGGAAAGAAAGAAAGCTCAAAATAGACTCAAATAAAGGGGGTTGTAAACTTACAATTCTTGAAATCGACTCTTTCAAAAGTGAAATAAAATCTTTGCCCCAGTTTCAGCTATTGGGGATTTTTGGTATATTTCTATTTTTCTTTTTCTTTTTCTTCTAAACTCTTATTTGAGTGGACCAAACTGTGAGACTGCCTACGTATCCTTTTTTTAAGGAATCAGGTCGAATGTAGTTCAAACATCTGACCTAACTAAAAAAATTTTCATTTTTCTTTCTGTTGTTTTTTCTTTTCTTTTCTTTTCTTTTCTTTTTTTTCTTTCTTTTTCTTTTGTTTTCAAAACAAGTGCCCCAGCTCCTATTTTTTAGGGCATGGACCTTTGACAAATCTTTTTTTTTTTTTAACTTTCTAAGAATTGCCCCAGTTTGTACTCTTGGGACATGGTTTTTTTCTTTTTCTTTTTTTTGACTCTAAACTTGATTCCAAAAGAGGGTAGTCAAATAAAATAACACAGGCTCAAAAGGGGTAGCGAAGGATATAAAGTGTTTAGATAGCAGAAAAAGGACCTCCCAACCTCGAGAACGTCAAACATGGTATCTTTTCGCGATCACAGCATTGACGAACATGTATGTCTTCTTGGTGTGCCGTGGTCACAAGACATTTTTTCATCCCTAAGTGACAAACTTTCCAACAAACTTCAATTGATTAAACATCCTCAAGCCCGATCTTCACAATGATTTGAAAGTGAATTTTACTCGGCCTTAGTTCCAAAGTATTCCAACTCTTTATTCATCCTCAAATGTATTTTTTTTATTTTTTTATAGTTATCCAATTCCATATTAAATCTGTTCTTAAGATCTGGCCAAAATTTTCGCATGCATGTCATGTCATTAGAACTAGCGACAAAAGAACTAGGAACAGAATGACACAAAAGGACAAACTGTATTTTATTGAGTAATGGATGAAAGGGTTTTACAACTAAACAAGCAACCCAAAATACGAGTTACAACCCTAAAATAACCCGAATAATGAAAATAGCAACAGAACAGACAGACAAGACTCACACAAACAGAATGGAGGGATAGAAGGGCTTAACTTAATAAAACAAATAAAATCTGGATCACAACCTTGAAATAACCCAGATAATAGAAAAAACATCAAAACAAGCTACCAAGATTCCTTCCTAGTGAGGAGAGAATGACATTTCAATTGCTAGGCTTGACATTTAGCCACAAATTTGCCCATCAGAATCAGCAAAGCCTTCTCCAATTTCAACATCATTAACTTTAGTTAGCAAGTTCCCGAGAGGATTCTCATACTCC